GGGGTCCTCTTGCCCTGCTTGTGATCCAGATCTACCACCAGCGGGCTGGGCTCCTCCACACCCTGGAGCGTGGTGGCCGGCATGAGGTGGGATGCGTCCTCGCTACTGGAGTTGGGCGCTGTCCATCTGGATTAGATCTGGACCTAGCAGGCGGCTGGGGTTTGTGTACCTCGAGGCACGTTGTTGGTGGCGGTGGTGCAGGCGGCTCTCCCGGCGGCTGCTCCGTGAGGTTTGGGGCTCAGCGTTCCTCTTCTCGGTAGTTGTCGCATCTGATCAAATTGACGAACGCCGTCGGGTGTTGGATTTGCGTGGTTTTCTCCTTGTGACAAAACCGGCCGGTCACTCGAGCTGCAGATTGTGGTGGACATCAGAGAATCTCTTTAGATTTGATGACTGCTGCCGGCACCTTGTACCGCCAAAGCTGTGGGATGCAACCAGAAGGCCCCGTTGTGGGTTTTGGCGGCTCTCCCTCCTACCAGTTCACCTTTGATGATGGTGTAAGGCAATTTATGGATGCAACTTGATGCAGAGGGTACAGATGTGCAGCGGAGGCTCGATGCAGGTAGCTGCTGGGATCGCGGAAAAGTGGGGGCGAAAACACATGTTTGACTTCGATGTGCTGCTGCTGCTTGAGTACCTGGTCTTGAGCTCCGGGATGAAAACCCTAGGTCAGACCCGAGTTGGTTATACCTGGCAATGATGATGTTCTTGCATCGTTACTTTGTTGAAGGCGTTGCTTGGATATGCTCGGACTTGCTTTTCAGGGTGAAAACCTAGAGTCTAACCTTTCGTGGTTGGATCCGGTGACGGTGGCGCTTGAGCGTCGTTTCCTTCTTGAAGGCGCTGTTGTTGAAGAATCTCGTTGTCCCTCTGGTGTTAAGAGAAGGCTGGTGCACATATGGTTGTTTTCGTAGTTTGTCGGCCGTTGTTTTTATCAATTTGGGTTTTTTTTCTGGCTAAGGTATAGCTTTGGTCTTGTATGACTTTGCTATTTGCCGGTGTGTTTCTTTTTGTGTGTGTGCGTTTGTGTCGGCTGTGTGCATTCTAGCTATGCAGAGGCCGGGTGTGTACTCATTGTGTTTTGTATCTACTTGATGCTTCACTTTGAATCAATAAAATCCACCCTTTATCGAAAAATTCCTATAAACTTCCTACAAACCAAAAGAGGCGTGAGAGGTGCTGGTTGCTATAGCAGAATTATTTATTAGCTCAGGGGCTTCATACAATCATAATGTATTTTTTGATACAACCATGCGAGCGAAGAAAGTAATTAAAACATGAGAGAGAGAAAGCAGAAGAGCCGCTCCGGCTACTGCTTGTGGTGCCCCACCCATATGATGATGATGGCTTAAGTTGGGCATAAGAAGTCAGTCCATCTGCGTATGTTTCTTTACGGTATCAAATTGTTTTTATGATGCTCAAAGTATTTATGGTAT